GTTTGCGGGGGCTTGAGCCCAGGGGCGCCCTACCTCTGAGCTGCGACCAGGCCTTGTGATTTTCTAAGACAGGGCCTTGCTCAGTTGGGGAGGCTGGCCCTGAACTTGCCGCCCCCCTGCCTCCTAGGAGAGGTGGGGATGACAAGCGCGCCACCATGGTGTTTTTGCCCAGGCCTCCTCCCTGCCTTCTTAGTCACTGTAAGAAACCAGGAAGATAAATAAGAAAGAGAAGTCAGAGGCCGGGATGAGGCTCCCTGGTGCCGGGGTCCCACAGCACAGCAGGGGCAGAGTCACCTCCAGGGCTGACTTCATGTTCAAACACCAGCTGATTTTGCCTCCTTTGTACCTGGGGCAGGTCACTGCTTGGCTCTGGGCCTCAGATCCCCTCCTGTGTGTAGGGGTGCTGTTGTTCTTGGGGTGCTGCTGAGAGGGTTCTGTGAGGCCTAGGATGCACCCTGGCCGCGTCCCCAGGGGAGTCTGAACCGGAAGCCTCTGAGTTCCTGGGTTCCAGGATCTTAGGCCCTGTGGGTATCAGGAAGAGGTGTATGGACTCCGAGCCCCAAAGAGGCCCTTGTGGTAGATGGTCTGGCAGGGCAGGCTGCGCAGCTGGACTGCGGTCATCCCCCCCACAGGCCAGGCAAGTGTGGCCCTCCCTTCTCCCCTCCGGGGACCTGCTGGCTGGACTGCCTTGCAGGGTCAGAGGTCACCCCACCCCCAGCCTGGCTCCTGGAATGAGGACTGACCAGTTGTCAGAGCTGCTGGATAACAGCCACACTTGGGGGCGTCCCCAGACCACCCAGTGACTCGGTCTTGGTGCCAGCTGGGCGCCTGTCCTCCATCTGAGGCTGGGAGTGTGTGGGGGTGGGGCAGCCTCCCAGGAAACTGGAGCTGAGACCCACACCCTCCCTCTGGCCCGCCCACACCCTCCCTCTGGCCCGCCCCCACCCTGACCGCAGGCCACACCAGCAAGGTCCAGCTGTCCTCAGGGCAGCCCCTGGTCCACACTGAGGGCAGAGGGAGGACAGGTGACTCAGTCACCACCCCCTCCTTGAGACCAAGCCAGCCCCTGGCCTCTGCTGACCCATGTGGGCTGGGGAGGATGGGGGCTGGATCCTGGCTGTGTCCCCAGGGCTGTGTGGCCTCAGGGCCCCTCAGCTCCCTCCCTGAGGCACCTGGCTGAGGAATGAAGCTGTAAGACCGGACTGTCCACTTCGCTGGAGAGGGGCCTTTTGTTTTTGATCCCTGTCCTTATCTCCCTGGGGGTCCAGGGACTGATGGGCCAACCTCTTCTGGGAGTGGTGGCAGATGGATTTGTGGCAGGGGTATGTTTCTCTTTAGCAGGCTTTGGATACAGGGCCTCAGGTGACCCGGGAGCCAGGGCTCTGGGGGTAGAGAGGGAGTTGTTTTTCTCTCCAACAGGCAGCCTGGAGAGGGAGCAGCCCAGGCCAGCCCTGGCCAGAACTCTGGGGCAGGGGAACCAGGTGGCCAGTCTGCGCCTGCCCACCTAGCCATGCTGCCCTTGAGTGTGAACAGGGAGGTCAGCCGGGCACCTCTTTCATCTGGTTCCCAGGGCGCTGCTCCCTGGAGGCCACACCTGCTGTACCTGGACCCCGAGGCCTGGTCTCCAGCAGGACCCTGGGGTCAGGCTGGCAATGAGCCCTTTGAGGGAAAGCCAACCCCAGGGGAGGCCCAGGGAGCAGGGAGCCCCAGCTGTGTCAGCCGGCTTCTGCTGGGCTGTCCCCAAGGGCAGGGGCAGGAGTCACGTGCCCTCGCCCAGGGGACCCAGATGACGTCCTGGTGGGTGAGTCGCGGGAGCGGGCTGTATGTGTCTGGGTCACACAGGAAGAAAAGGAGATTTTCAGACCTGAGAACGCCAGGACAGTGGCTCCAGTCGGCAAGCAGGGCGCCTGCCGCATGGCGCCGGTCACATGACCCAGGGTCACCCAGCACCCCCCAGGCAGGGAGCCTCTTGGGGCTGGGGGCCAGAAGCTATGGCCGGCCCTGCACCCTGCTGACCCGGTGAAAGCTCAGGGGAAGGCCAGGGAGTCACCTCTGAGCCATGGCTTAAACCAGGGGCCCCTCAGCACAGTGGACGTGTGGGCCTGAATGGGGTCCTGGGCCTGGGGGGGGCTGAGCAGCGTCTGTGGCCTGCACCTACCCAGGGGAGATGCCAAACACCTGTCATGGCCCAGGGCCCCTGGGGTACAGGCCCCAGTTCAGGACTCCCCTTTAGCAGGCACCTTCTACCTGCTGGCACCAACCTGAGACTCAAGGTGGATGCGGCTAGACTGCCCGCCCTAGGACGGCCCACCCCACGTGGCCTGGCCAAATGTGCTGCTCCCCAAAAAACAGCACAGGAGACATTTTTCTGTTAAAGTCAGAAGAGTTTGTCTTGTTTTAATATCTCATCAGCTTTACATGGTTACAAGTGTCTTAAATATTTCTGAAGTTTAAATACAATCTGCATAATAATGTTATAAAATGTAAACTTTCAGTGTTCTTTTAAATTTCAAAATCACACTTTTTTGGGGGGTCTTTTTGTCTTTTGCCTTTTTTTTTTCCTTTTAATACCTGAATGTTCTGCAAAAACTGAGATTGATGCAGGTCACCCTGCCCTGGCTGCAGTGTGACAGGGGCCCAGCCAGAGGTAGACAGCAGTTTATACTTTTTTTTTTTTTTTTTTAAGTTTTTTCCCCTTTACCTGAGTTTGGGCGTGATCTGCACGCCATCTGACAAGCCCCCGAGAAACTGAAACTTTGACCTTCGAGATGAAAGGCTGAGCTTGTGTTTGCCAAGAAAAAACGCAAAAGCCAAAATTCAACGGAAAGCAATGAAGGAAGGTGGGCCAAATGGTCAGAGAAAGATGTGACTGTAGGACCACAACTCTAAACACCGCCTGGAGGCCCCATGCCTCCCAACCTCGCCCACAGTGGACAGGGGGACAGCCCCGCCCAGGGCCCCACTCACTTCCAGGACCCTGCTAGCCCCTGCGCCCTGGGTTTGGGAGCCTGCCGGCTGTGCCCACCCAAGACCCAAGGTGCCAGTGGACAGTACACACACCCAAGTCCCCTGGGCCTGGCAGGTCACCCCTTCCATATGTTGGCATAATGGGGTGCTGAGCTGTGCCCCAGAAAGACACTCCTTAGAACCCCTACCAGCAGACTGGCCAGGAGACAGGCAGGCCACTCAGGGCCCACAGCTCCTGCCTGTTGGGACACAGGGTTCCAGAGACTCCCATTCATGGCTGCCAGGGCTCCAGGGTCCTATAAGCATCAAGCAGCCGGCAGGCCAGGTCCCTCCCTGAGTCAGGATCCAGTCCTCGTGCAAAGCTGGCCCGCCACACACCCCAAAGTGGGTCCCCACAAGCACACCACACACGCGTCACCTAAGAAAAAACTCCATCTGAGGGGGCAGGTGGAGGTGGCCCTGGCCCCGTGCACTGAGTACCTGGGTGGCCACTGGGCCAGTTTTTGGCATCAAAAGTCAGACCTGAGGTAGAAAGAAATGTGCAGTGGACAGTCCCCACACGGGGCCCTCGTACAGGACAAGGGGCTGCAGCCCCCAAGGCAGCTGGCTGCAGAGTTGCGGCCAGGAGGCTGAAGGAGCAGATTTTGGACAGAGTCCAGATGGTTCTCGGAGAGGGGGCAAGATTGAGTCTTGGGACAAAAAGACCCCCACTCCCAGGAATGATTGTGCTGCTAAGATGCCTGCCCCCAAGATGAGGCAGGCAGAACCTTCCAGAAGAAAAGCCAAGAAGAGCTCTGGAGGGCCCCACCCCTCCTGGGAGGGGGGCCTGTCGATGGCCCTGAGACCTAGGAAGAAGAAAAGGATTCCCTCCCTCTCGAAGACAGGAAAGGACTCTGCCAGGCCAGGAGCCTGCTGAGGTCTGGGGGCCCAGCAGGCCAGGTGCCCTGGGCCCAATTAGCGCTCCCAGGCTCACCTGGGCCTAGCCGGCTCCAGGGACAACGGGAGCTGAGCTCGGCCCAAGGGCGTTCCCTGAACCCAGGTTGGGGACGGAGTTTCTGCCCCAGTGGCTGTGGCAGAAATGCAGCCCAGTTCTGCCCGGCATGGAGGACACCTACTGACCTGGGTGGACTACGGTCCTGCGTGGCCTCTATTTACTGTCCCTGTAAAACCATGGGGAGCCCCAGCCCCTTGCAAACGGGGTGAAGAGAAGACAAAGGAAAAGAGATGAGAATGTGGGGGTGGGGTGCTGGGGATCCGTGGCCCCAAAATCCTCACCCTGAGCTAGGCCCGGCTGCACCCCATTCCCCCACATTGATAGTCCCCAAAATAGCCCTTTTAGGCAAGAGAGTCCAGCATATTCGTCCCTGAGTCAGAAGCCTGGGGGCTGCCACCGTGAAGTCCCCTCCCAAGCTCCAGGCCCTTTCTACTTCCTGGTTAAGATTTCCAGGTCCCTGAATTGAGGCCCGGCAGCTGGAGCCAGCACCAGAGAGGGCGTCCCGGGAACCCCAAGTGGGCCCACGAACGGCGCATGCGCCGGCCTGCCAGCCGCTCGCACCGGAGTGGCCGGGCCAGCGGTCCGTGGCCACGGGATGGGGCGGGAGCCCGCACGTCCCCGGGAGAATACAGTTATTACCGGGTTGGTGTGTTTGCTTTCAAGTCCGTTTCCCTGAATGAACACAAATATATAGATATATAGATATTCCTTTTCCTAAAGTTTGACCCCCCTCCCCAAGAATAAAATAGAGTATTTACAAACAAACCCGGAAACCTTTTAAAAACCTATAGAATTTGAACATCGCTATTTTTTTTTAAAGAAAGAAAGTAAGTTTCCAAAGCATCAGGAAAAAACAAATTCAGTGGCTGTGGCTCAGGGGTCCCGCTCCGCGCGGGGCGCAGGCTGGCGAGGGAGCGGGGCGCAGTGCGCGCCCCGGCGCCGGGGCTGGCTCCTCGTGCTCCTGACGGTTCCTCTCGGTGTCTGAAACCTGAGACTTCCCAGTGTTCCCCGCGCTCCCTGTTTTATTAAATTTGCTTTATATATATATATATATTTATATATGTATATATTTTCTTTCCTTTTTGGCGTCGGCTGGCTTCCTGGGGGCCTCACCCTCCCGCGCACCGCGCACCCTCCTGGTGCGCAGGGCCGCGCAGGGCGTGCTCCGTAGGTGGTGGCGGCGCTGGTGGCGGCAGGGGCGGCTAAGGCAGCGAGGTATCTGAGGTAGAGGTGGGGGGCCCGGGCCGTCCTGCAGGCCCGGCCTGGCCGCCCGCGCCGCCGCTGGTCCCGCCCGATGCTCCCCGGCTGCCGCCGCCGCCGCCGCCAGAGTTGCTGCCGCCACCGCCCTTACTGGGAGCCGAGGGTGGCGTGGGGGCCGGCGGCTGGGCAAACAGCACTCCTGACACGGGACGGAAAGAGAGATCATGCAGGACGGGCCACCTCCGCGCTCTGACCCGGCGGAGTGTAAGCTTCTCCGCCCTCTCTGGGGTGCTCTGGACCCGCCAGAGCCCCGCCCTGCAGCTCCCCACAGCTGCCCCCAGCCCCGTGGCCTCCTGGGCCTGCCTTCCGGGGCTGGGGGTGCAGCCCAGTGCTTAGCGCCCCCACGGGAGGCCCTGGGTTCCCATTCCAGCACCAAAAGGAAAAAGGAAATAAAGAGGAGATTGGTGGGTGTGGTGGGAAGCACCCTGTCCAGCCGCCAGGAGGCTGAGGCTGGAAGACCACCCGAGCCCAGGAGTCTGAGACCCAACAAAGTGGGACCCCCATCTCAAAGAAAGAGGGCACCACACTGGGGCCTCCCTGGGGAAGACCCTGCCTTTACAACCCCCCCACAGCTGAGGCACTGGGCCCACCTGGGGTGCCCACGGCCCGGGACTCACCTGTGTACATGATGCCGTTGATCTCCACCGACATGCTAATGCTGTTGCTGCCATTGGAGCCAGTCAGGTTCACAGCCGAGTCCTGGCGACTCTCAGAGGCTGTGGGGAGAAGAAACCTATCAGGATGACCACAAGTACGTGGGCAGCGTCCTCCCCAGCCCCCCTTGAGCTTCTCAGGGCTGTGTGTGCCACACTTAAGCTACCAATACGACTGCATTTGTCAAGCAGAAACAAAAAGGTAAGAACTGTCCACAGTTAGCTTTTTCCATGACTCTGAATCTTAGGAGACACCAGAAGATCCAATCGGCTCACTTTAGGGTGACCACAACACACACCCTGACATGTCCTTGGCCCTCTGTCTCCTCAGGTTCTGCACCTGCAGACCCAACAACTGTGCATGGAAAACAGTGGGAAGAACAGCACACTGGAGCCAGGCCCTTGGGAGGCTGAGGCAGGAGGATGCTCAAGGCCAACTTCTGCAATTTAGTGAGACCCTGTCTCAAAATAATTTTTTTTTTTTCCAAAGGGCTGTGGCATAGCTCAGTGATTAAGAGTGTCCCTGGATTCCATCTCCAGCGCCAGAAAAAAATTATGCCTGGACAGACTCCGAACAATACAGTGTAACAACTACATACCCAGCATTTACATTGTATTAGGTGTTATAAGTCATCCACAAAGGGTTCAAAGTCTGCAGGGGACGCGGGCAGGCGTGAGCAGGGCCTGAGCCCGCAAGCCCAGGAGCCGTCTTGTCACGCTGGGCAGCTGCTTGTGCACTTGCACAAGTCCCTGCTCTGGATACCAGCAGGCAGCTCTGGGTCACGGGGCAAGGACATGTTCTATTGTAGAAGGGATTGCCAAATAGTCAGTCACCTTTTCACACTCCCACCAGCAGGACCAAGGGGGCCATGTCCCCACATCCTGGTCAATGCTGGATAGGAATCGACTCTGCCAGGTGGTGACATCTCTGTGTCACAGATCCCCAGTGAGGAGGAAGCCAGCAGCGTGTCCCGGGACTTCACTGTCTAGCTGCCCCTCCCCCACCGGTCCCGTGGCCTTTTTCTTAGGGACCTGCCGGCACTCTGCGGGCCTTGGCTCAGAGGTCTGGGTGCTGGGTCGGTACCTTGGCTGTTGATCCGGATGCTCATGGGCAGCTGCGCCGTCATGGCCAGGAAGTTCTGCTGCAGTGCTCGCTGCATGAGCCGCTGCTGCTCATCAGTCACCAGGGCCATCTTCTTCTCAGGGGGCTCCCCAGATTCCAGCTTCTCCCGAAGCTGCTCCAGAGCAGCGGCCTGGGCGGCCACGGCGGCCTGGGCTGCCGCGGCCTGCACTGCGGCGGCCTGGGCAGCCACCACCGGGTGGCCCGCCAGGGACACGGGCAGGCGGCCAGGGACCGTGATGGGGATGGCCAAGTCCTCCTCTAGACAGAGAGGAGAGGAGCCGGTGGTCAGAAGGACCTGGGCCTGCCTCGCGCTCCACCCAGGCAGGGTGTGGACGGACACCTCACAGAGGAGGTGCTCAGCCTCCCCAGGAAGACAGACGCCAGAGGGCCACTGTCGGCAGGTCCCCTGCGCCGGGACAGTGGGCTGCCGGCTCCAATGCCAGCAGCTGCCCTGCAGTCCTATCTGACCATGAACAAAGGGCAGGGGCTCCCCAGTGTCCCCAGCACCTTCCAACGTCCACGGACAGAAGCTCTCCCAAAGCCGCAGAGCCCGTGAGGGCTCGGCTGGCAGTCCAGGCGCAGCCCGGCTCCAGAACCAGCTGGCAGACATTCCCCTCTTCCCACACAAGGGTGCCACTCTGACCCTTGGCATCTTCTCCCTGAACGTGTCTTTCCAAGTCTCCACCTGGCGCTGCCTCTACTTGCTGGCTCTCCACTCTGGACCTTGGTGACACTGTGGTTTCTGCCTCAGAAATCTCTGGTCTCAACGCAGACGCTGCCTTCCCAGGAGCGCCCTGCCCCTCTTCCCCCGTGTCTGCAGACCTACTGCTGTACCAGGGGCTCCCGGGTCAGAACCGCCATCTTTGCCTGGCCTTTGTCTCCCTGACCTCAGGCATGGGGCCTTGACATGGCGCTCAGCAGCCATCGTGGGTATCGCTGGGACCCCCAGAGGCCGCGAGGGTCATGAGCTGGGGTCAGCCCAGCCTCACTCTCGGGCTGTGAGGACGACCCTGGGAGGAAAGGGTCCCCAGCCTGTGTGGCAGGTGGGAAACGGGAACTGACGGGGTCCCGAGGCCCCGGGGCAGGCGTGAGGAAGGACTCGGAGGCTCAGCAGGGGAGAAGCCGTGGCTGGGGTCTGCATAATGGGGAGGGCTCAGCCTCAGGCCCGTGCGCCTCGCCCGCTGTACCAAGCCCTTGCACACCACACGCTCCTGACCCCACAAAGATCATTTCCCTTTCTTTCCACATGAGGAAAGCCAGCTCAGAAAGGGACAGTGACCTGCCCAGGGGCATCTAACAACAGCTTCCCAGACGGTTTAAGGGTCAAGGTGACGGATGACACGTCCCTTTGCATATGTCTGCTGGGACCGTGTCGAGAGGGACTCCAAAGCTCAGAGGGAAAAAATATAGTGATCACCTAGTAATGTCTGTCACGGGCAAGTCCCAAGGCTGCCCTGAGGAGGGGTGTGCGTGCTCAGCGTCCACCTCGGCGTGGACCAGGAGGAGCACGCTCTGTTGGTAATGTCTGCCGTGGGCAGAGATGAGAAAATCGTGCTCGATGTGTAATGTCTGCTTTGGCAAAGAACTGGGAGGTCAGGACTGACTAGAGACGTCCGTGGGCTGGGTGTGGGTCTGCCCTGGGCGCAGCACGTGGGGACAGCAGCCCTCTTCCGTGTCTGTGTTGGGGTTCGTCACCGCTATCCAGGGAGCAGAGACCCCCAGGTGAAGCTGGATAGAGCCCCAGGTGGCCCCTACCTTTCTTGATCTTGGGGGCCGGGGTGATGGAGCTGCCATTGGTGCTGGCCGCCAGGCCCAGGGAGGGCACGGGCAGCTTGGGCGAGGACAGCGTGCTGTGGGCCCCGCCCGGAGAGTAGGTGAAGAGCGAGCCCCCGAAGCTCTGGCGCCGGCCCTCTCTGCGGTTGCTGTCGATGGCGGCTTGGAGCTCGCTGGGGCTGCTGAGGCCCCGCCTCTCGCACTCGTAGGGGTACAGGTACTTCATGTACCTGTGGGCAGGGGACAGGGTGGCACCTCCGTCCGAGGCCCCCGTGGCCCGGGGATGGTGCCCACAGGCCCCCCGCGCAGGGCAGCCCACTCACTGGGTCCGCAGGGTGAAGGCGGCACTGGTGATGGAGGTGGGCAGGTTGAGGCCCTTGGTGATCTCCCGCCATAGCTTCTTGTTGATGACCTCCACGAGGCCGCCCTTCTCCGTGACCAGCACGTACAGCATGAACAGGTCCAGCACCTGCTTGGCCATGATGGGGATGCGGTTCACCGGCGTGCCTGTAGGTGGGCGCGTGGTGAGCTGGGCGGCACGGTCACACCCCGGGCACCAGGTCCCCTAGGGACTGTCGCCTCTGGCGAGACCCCTGCAGCACAGGGGACAGCTGTGCCTCGGCTCTGGAGTAACCGGGCTCTGGGGCAGCACTGATCTCCTGAGGCCACAGGCCAACCTGGGGGACGTGTGAGGGTCGCAGACTCTTCTCCAGCTATAATAACTGGGCCTGGGTCCCCAGGGGCCCTCCCATCTGGCAGATGGCAGAGCTGCAGGTGAGGTGGTGGGTGAGGGAGGCTAGCCAGCCCTGTCTGCGTGCAGAGGAGGAAGAGGGGGCAAGCCCAGGGAGGGTCCATCTGCACCCACTGCCTGCCCCAACCTCCTCTGCCCACAGCCTGCTGCAGACTGGCCCCTGCTGCCCGGCGCCCACCTGGCTGCTCGAGCCTGGCTTGCCCCCAGCCCCCGGGCAGGCAAAGCCCCTTATATCACAGGTACCTCTGGAACTGGGCCGGGGAGAGGTCATCTGCTGGGGCCTGTTGGCTGTCCTGCCTTACGGGGTCACTCAGCCTAGCACCCAGCAGGGACTCAGTGACCAGCAGCCCCACTGCAGGGCATGACCCCCTTTGAGTCAGGGGCCAGCCCACCCACCCTGGGCACACACTAGCACTCTGTCTCCTGGGCCCAGCATTTCCCAGGCCTTTCCAAGTTGCAAACTCCCAGTGACGCTGCACATCGTGGGACACGTCTGCTGTCCAGCAACTCAGGAGGCTGAGGCAGAAGGTCCCCAACTCTGAGGCCAGCCTGAGCAACTTAATGAGACCCTGTCTCAGAATTTAAAAAATTTTAAAAAGGGCTGGGGCTCAGTGGTAGAGCACTTGCGTACCACGTGTGAAGCACTGGGCTCGATTCTCAGCACAACATAAAAATTAAAACCCACTGGCAACCAAAAATATAGGAAAAAAAAAAGTGGGATGGGGGCACCTGGCTGGTGGAGGAGGGTGAGCCTTAGAGGCACCATGGCACCCAAATTCCATTTTTCAGCCCAAAAGGGAGGTAAGAGGACAAGCCGAGACCCAGCTGCGCGCTCAGCCCTGCCCTGCTCAGGGCCTCACGGGCCAAGCAAGGAAGCCACACCAGGCACCGCGAGGCCACCCTCGTCTCCGCCGAGGTTCGCAGAACGCCAGGAGCACCGCGGAGGCCCAGCAGAGACTCGGAGGGCGGGGACGGGCGGCAGGCCAGGGAGGCGGCAGGGTGCAGACAGGACTCCTCCCCTCCCTTTCAGTCCCCAGTAAATTCTGGGAGAAATTCTGTCGGAGGTTTTTCCTTTCTGATGCAGGAAAATAAATATTCTTGCTCTGATTGGAGTAAAGAAGGGGCGGGAGATCCAGGTCACGCTGTCCAGGGTGCAGAGTGGGGGACAAGTCTGCCTGGGCACTGGGGATGGGCACTAGGGCTGCGGCAGAGTGGCGGTTCTGGGTCTGGGGGACCCGAGCCCCTGGGTGTGGGGGTGGGGCACAGGCAGGTGGGAACGGGGTGATAACGACGGAGGGGCCATCTCTCTGGCCAGAGACGGCAAAGCTGGCCTCAGATAACGCACAGGGCTCCCGCCCGGGACCACCCTGAGTTCCCAGCCGGCACAGGAGGGCAGTGAGGTCTGAGGCTGCGGCCCCCCTCCCCTGCCCTTCCGGTGGCAGGGCCTGGTGGCCTGTGTTTACAGAAGCCGGCAGAGGCCCACACAAAGCCAGCGCTGGGCGACAGCCCTGAACCGGGAGCCGGCGGAACTCTCTGGGCCTTTCTTCCCCTGAAAAGCAGGGGCTGTCCAGGGGTCCAGGAGGCTTGCGAGAGCCAGCCCCACCCTGTGGCAGGACCCCATTCAGCTGACCAGGGCTCAGGGGGCGAGAGCAGGTTCTGCCTGCCCACTGGCCACTTTAGGCTGAGGGTCCGGCTGTGGAGGCCAGTGCTGGAGACACTCAGTCCCCCCTCTCCTGTCCCCAGGCCTGAGCCTGGAGCTGAGGAGCCGCCTGCCTCTGGTCAGGGTCTCTGCCTCCCCACCGGGACACCCGTCCAGAACTGCCCGTGGCTGGCCCTCCCATCTCGTCACCCCCCTGTTCTCAGGGCTGAGGTCATGAGGCCCTTCGCAGGTGGGCGTCCACCCAGGAGGATCAGGGGACACGGCTGCAGAGGCACTTGGGCCAGTACCAGGGGTGTGAGGGAGACGCAGGCTTTATCATGCCCGCTGCTTCCCGGCCAGACCCCAGGGCCGGGCCGGCCTCTGCCATCAGGCCCCTCCTGGGTCCCAGCTGAGAGCCCGGGGGGGCCACCTGCACTCTCAAGGGTCCGGGCGGGGACTCACCTCGCTTCTGCATAAAGGTGAACAAGTCGTCCAGGAACTCCTTCCTCTTGGGGTCCCCGTCCAGTTCATAGAGCTGCAAGGGCAGAGGGGGCGGGCTAGTGGGCGCCGGAGAGCAGGAGAGGGACCAGGTCCCCCTGCAGGGCTGTCCTAGACAGCTGGGGGCCCTGGTTCCAGGAGGGGGATGCACATGAGCAGGCGGCCCCAGCTCACCTGGGGCTGGAAGCGGGAATCCCCCCACAGCCCTGCCGCAGCACCCTGCAGGCCTCGTCGACGTCCCCCGCGTCCCCATCTCTCCTCTGCATTCAGGGTCAGGTCCCCTGTCCCCCTGCCATTCCCCAGGTCCCTTCAGCACCACCAGAGCTCACAGGGGTCACCAGACACCCCGGCCTGGGACCCTTCCCGCGGCCTGGGCACCCCGGGCACTCTGCTCCCCAGAGGCATCTGATTGGCGCCAGGGAAACCGAGGCCTGCACACGGGCGAGGGGCACAGCCTGGGAGTGCCGGGGCCTGCTGGCCCAGAGACCCTCCCGCTCCATCCTGCTGCTGCGGCCAGGGAGGAACCAACGTGGGGGATCCTCTGGGACATGGGGTCGCTGGCCCCGCTGGCCAGCCGGTGGGGTTTTGTGGGTGGGCAGGGGTCCGCGCTCTGCGGGGGCAGTAGGCAGACATGGTTAGAAGGTGCAGTGCGAGGGGGCCAATTTGCTGAGGAGGGGCAGAAGCCAATACCAGGCTTCAAATTCAGCTTGGGAATGTGCCTGGCTGGACTGCAGGGGGCCTTGAAACCACCAATTAGGCCCAGGGAGGATAATCTGTCATCAGGTCCCAAGAGCACGGCCAAAGCACGGTGCTGTCCCCAGGACATCCCTGGCCACCCTTCTGTAAACCTACACCTCTCTGGGCCTCAGTTTCCCCAACTGTATAATGGAGATGGGGGGGGGCCTTCTGGAAAGGGTGGTGGTGCCACGAGCCCAGACCTCTGCCCCGGGTGGCGGAGGCCAAGCAGAGGGCCAGCAGCTGGGCCTTTGTCTACGCCCCACCCCGGCCAGCGCCAGACTGGCTGGCCCGCATTCCTGTGCTGATTTATGGTGGCCAGGGAGGTCCGTTTCCCTGCAGCTGCCTGAGGGGCCTGCAGGTAGATGTGGCCGGCTACAGTGGGACGATCCTGGGGACATGCACATGTCCACGTGGGGCTGGGCCTATCAGCTGGGCTGGTCCTGGGTCTGGGGTCCGGTCTGCCTGGCCCAGTGTCCGGATGGGCCCAGAACCAACACCCAAGTGGACGGGCTTCTCCGGCTGCAACACTGCAAGCCGAGCCAAGATGCACGGAGGCCGAGGGGCCTGAGGCCTGCCACCGAGGACCTGGCACCGTGCTCCCCAAAGCTCACGGCCCCCGCAACCTCATGGGGCTTTATTTCGAAAAGGAGCTTATCCAGAGGTCACTGCCTACGGTGGGGCCACACTGGCCTGCCATGGCCCTGACAGGGGCCACAGGCCAGGACCCTGGAGCCCGGCGCTGGGCAAGGCAGGAAGGGCTCCCTGGAGCCTGGGAGGCCGCCCAGCCCCGCCCAGCACTGGACCTGACTTCAGCCTCCCGCACTGAGGAAAAAGAAATGCCTGCTGCCGTGAGCCCCCAGGTCGTGGTCATCTGCCACCACAGCCCCGGGACACTAGAGGCCGCCTGCCCCCACAGAGGCAAAGCCCCCTTCCTCAGTTTCCCCATTTTTCTTGAAGAAAAGCATGCCATAAAAATTCAGTGGCTTAGGGCTCGTGGACAGCACCAGCTGGCCCGCACAGAGCCCTGGGCTCATCCCCAGCACTGCAAAGGCCAAAACACAAGCCCCTGCCCTGGGCTTGGGGACAGCCATGGACCTCACACCCCAGGCGTGGAAACAGCCTCAGGCGCGCAGCAGCTGGGGGGGGGGGTGCAGGAGGGGGCAGGGCCATCAGCCTCCAGGCCACCTGGTAGGCAAGTGGTCAGCGGCAGGGCAGTCAGACCCCCATGGAGCTGGGCATTGATTCAAGGCCATAAAGGGAACATGCAGACCCCCAGCTGCCCATGGGGGAGGCCTCTTCAAAAGGTCGCTGCTGTGGGCAGTCAACAAAGTGGGCAGTAAGGCTGCTGCCCCAGCTTTATAGGGCTCTGGCCCCTAGTTCCACTCCCCTGCTGGGCAGGTCCGCCTGGGTCAGCTGGTGGGGACCCAGGGGACAGTGTCCAGGGCACCCTCCTGGCCCGTGGGCCCAGCAGCCCCCTGGAAAGGTACAAGGCGACAGTGCCAAGCGGACAGACACCTAGGCTGAGGTGGACCTGCCCCTCTGGAGAGGCCGGAAGTTGGCGGAGGCCCCTCCAGAGCCCACAGCCCCGTTGGAGGGAGGCTGGGCAGGGGCTGGAGCCTCTTCCAGGCAGAGGCTGAGATAAGCAGCACCACCCAAGCTGCAGCTGGACCTTGCGGGCCTCACCCCAGGCTGTTGACCCAGAGACAAGCCTCCACCCACGGCTGCCCCCACACCTGCTCCTCCCAAGTCCAGCAGGAGTGTCACAGGGCGCACAGCCCCTTCCTGGCCCCTGAGGAGCTCATGTGCCTCCCCAGGACACCAGGGACCTCTGTCTGCTCCCCTGGGTCCAGCCTCAGGCCGCACGCCAGGGTGCTCAGGATGCTCACTAAACGAGCCCCATGGCTCTGCAGCGGGGCCTCTCCTAGACCGCTCTAGGCTGCAGGTGACCCCGGGCCCTCCTGCCCTGCCCCAGGAGGCTCAAAGCCTGGAGGGCCGGGCAGAGGCCACTGGGGGTGTGCACTGACTGCAGGGTGCCCGTCTCTACTGTCCTGGGGATGGGGTGGCCCTCCCTCCCTGGCTCCTTCTGGGCCACATGGTCCCCACAGGCATCTCCTGCCTGGGGTGGCTTTCTCCCTCCTTCTTGGCACGGGTGGGTCAACAATTACCACCAGTGTCCCCAGCACCACCCGCTTCACAGAAGGACACTGAGGACAGGAGTAAGACTGAGTGGCCCCTCCCCCCTTCAGAGCCTCCTCCACTCAGCAGCCCCAGGGCCCTTCCCTGTTCTCTGGCCCTTCCTAGCTCCCATTGGCCTCCCCCCTGCTCCTACCGCAGGACCTTTGCACTAGCTATTGCCGCAGTCTGCAAGGCAGGTCTCAGACCTCCAGGCTCCCTCCTTCCCACTCCTCAGAGGCAGGCTGCCCATCTCCTGGCCCCTCCTGGGCCTGACCCTTCCTCTGCTTAAGTTTCCCTCTGGGTACTGGCATAAGGGAGTCAGACACTCAGACAGGGCCCGTGAAGAGCGAATGGGCCTCCTCTCTCCTGACACCCCTGCCCTGGGCGCATGGGGAGGAGGCGGGGGCTGGAAAGCAGGCCCAGAGCTCAGGTGTGGAGCTCAGGTGTGGCCTGGAGGACAGGCAGGGGAGACAGCCCTGGCCCAGAAAGCAGGAAGGTCCTGCTCAGGTCACTTAAGTTCTTGGCCTGGCTGACCACCCCCTCAGCCACCTCACAGTGGGCAGAGGTGGGGCTCAGCTGTTGCAGGAGGGGCCTCCAGGGAGTCCCAGGCTCAGACCTGGCTCGGAAGCCCCCAGCCCCCTGGCCCCCTGGCCCCCAGGCCCGGGGTGCAGAAGGAAAGTCCCAGGACAGACCCCTGAGACTCGCAGAAAACCCACAAAGTGACCGAGGCTAGTGCAGGGCCGGCAACCTGAGGTCGCCCAGCAGAATGGCGCCAAATCAGTCCCCAGTGGGGCCCCACCTGGGCAGCTGTGCCAGTTCCCAGCCTCCAAGGGGCCTGGGCGGCTCTAAAGGAGGGGGCAGGCTGTAAAGAATCGGCAGACCGCAGGGCCACCACAGAACCTTTGCCCCCCCCCCCCCCCCCCGCAGTATCTGCTCAGCCCCCCTGCCGTTCCCCGAAGGCTCCAAAGTCCATGGGGCCCTGCCTTGGGGGCAAGGCCTTGGCCAGGAGGGTGGACCCCAGGAATGAGGACATTCAGGCAGGGCCTGCTCTAGCCCCAGGGGCTGATCCCCTTCAGCCACCAGAATCAGGAAAAACCAAGCAGCAGCCCAAATGTCCCAGGTCAGAGCTCCCAGGAGGACGGCTTGCAAATGTCCAGGGTGGGAGGCCTGGGGAGGAGGCCGGGCCGTGGGAGAGGGGGGATCTTTAACAAGGTGCCTTTCACACCGTTCCGCGTGGCTGACGAGAAAGCAAAGACCGCTTCCCACGCAGGGCAGAGAATGGCTGAAAATGCTCAGAGAAAACGTGGACCAGGTCAGATCTGACTCAGCTGCCCCCACCTGGCCATGCTCAGGTACCCGGACAGCGTCAGGACCAGGACCCCAGGGCAGGCAGGAAGCTCCGCAGACCCAGGGGACACTGAGCACAGCAGAGAAGCTGGGGGCTGGGCCTCACTTCTTAGAATAAACGTGCTGATGTGAAACCCACCAGACCAGACCCCCGTCCACGGGGCCTCCGCCAGGCGGCCTTCCCTGCACCCAGCTCCCGCGCGAGGGGGCCTTCCCCGACCCCAGGCCAGGACGCCATGGCAGACAGTTTCATGGGACCTTCTTTCTCCCTCTGCCTTCCCCACCTGCCCACCCACCCAGACGGGAGCCGCGAAGCCAGCCGCGGGGTTTGTGGGTGCCAGCCAGCCCTGGCTTGCAGCAGGTGCCCACCAGAGAGGAAGGAGAGGGAGCCCCCACCTTTCCCAGCACCCAGTCTAGGTTGGCAGTGCAGCCCCTCCACCGTGGCCACCTGACCTGGGCACCTGGTGCAAGGGCGAGGCCCCGGGCAGCCCACACCACAGTGGGAGGGACGTCAGGCCCACACCCTGGTGCCCACGTTACCTCAGGGAAACTGAGGCAGGAGTCCCTGGTGTCTGGCCACCGGGTTGAGGGATGTGGCCAGGGGACACCCCTCGAGGAATGAATGGCTGGGGGGCGGACGCGTGGGGGGCGGGGCAGGCCCTGCAGCCCCTCCTGCCTGTCCCTGGGTTTACCGTGGAGGGTCAGGTCCATGAGATCAAGGGACGGAAGCTGGCACTGTGGTCTCCGGGTCCCTACAGCGCAGGCCGGGAGTCCAGC